CAGTAACAGTCTCTGTGTTTTATTTTTCCCTCTTATCTGAATATCTTGTGCCGATCGTTCACGAACCCTTTTGATAAAGAATTTCATAATACACCTGTGTTTAAGCTGATTCATGGTGTGTGTTGAATGGAAAATGCCAGAAATCCTTGTGAAGGTTCTGGAAAGTACCCGATGTTACACAAGAGAAACCGTTGAAAAACAGCTCTGAGCCAATCAGGATAAGACAGCACAAGATGACCGTGCAGAATGTAAACTAAAGTACACCCAAATTTTAATATGCATAAAATGACTTGCAAAGTCTCATAAGAACCAAGTCAAGATGGGACTCAAAGCCCGCCTAAAAAGGTGGGGTAAGCCGATGGGGTGACCAAGCTGAGAGCTGTCAGTCAAAAACAAGCTATAAAAACAGAAGATTCGGTTGAATCTTGGCTGTTTGGGGGATTCACTTCACCGAGGATGGACTAAGGACGAAAGACCATAGGACCCTTGGACGATTTTGGATTTAATAGGGCAATTTTTGGACGATTTCTAGCTGGAGAAGAACCTTTGGTAAATCCGATGGAATAATTTTCTTTTTTGGAATTATTTCTTCAAAACTCAACAGCCCGGATTACACCTGAAACCCATTTTCTTCAAATTGAACCAGCAAGGATTAAGGAGTGGCCTGGATCCTGACAGAACGGGACAGGGAAATCTGCCTTTACCTGATTCAGAGAGCATGGTAAGGGACGCTCCACAAAAATTGATCCTAACTAAAAGAGAGATTTACCAAATTTTAGAAGTGGTGTACGAATTGACAAGCAGAAAAATTTATCATATCAAAAACCTGGTTGCTCAGAGTTGTAGAAGGTCCTCCATGTGGTAAGAAATGATCTGTTGAGGCAGGTGGAGAGAGTGGGTAGGCTGTGTGGGTACGTGTGTTCCTGAGTGAAACCGGGCGCGGCCGGCTGGACTGAGAGAAGTCCGACACCGGGCTGAGAGGAGACCAAGTGCCTGTTTCAAACCTATCCATCCACCTCACCTAGGGAAAGTTAACAACTGAAAAGGATATAAAGAGTGAGAATCATCCATCATGTAATCTCTGTGTGATCCAGTGTAATCAATTATTGTGCTATACTGCTGTTCCCCTGCAAAAATTATTGATTAAAAGCAAAGCAAAACGTAAAATTCTGGATTCTTATTTCAAACACACCCTCTTGTTCTTGGAAGTGGAAAAACTTGGTTCAATGAAACAACAGAAGTATTTGGGAGGTTTTAAACGGTTTTCTTAGCTTTTTGAGTATAAAACAACACCCTGGAGTCTTATTTTTCCTAGATTCTAAAGACTGCCAGATCGGTTAACAATTGCAATGCTAAATCAGGAGATGAGCTAAAGTTAACTTGCGCTTCCTCATCCGCCGAACGTCCCCACTCCTGCTGTTAAGTGAGGCGAGACACGAGGTGAAAAGTTGCGTGTGGTGCAAGGAAGAAGGTAGTTAACAGTCTGGGTGAATCATCTCAACACAGCCTAAATCTAAAACTGTCCTTGGAAGCTGCTGCAGGTAAGACCTGAGCCGTAAGATTAGTTTTGAGACCCGTTGGAGGAGAGGCTGCGGTGAGGGCGTGGCACGTGCCCTGTGCCTACCTCGCTCGGATAGCAAGACAATACATACACATGAATATACATTCATATACATATCTATATATCTACATATAAAGCCTACATAAGCATCCCTGCTTCTATTTTTGTGTGGTTGTGAGCATGCATAAGTGTATAAGGCTTCTCTAATAGAACATTTAATAGTAACTGTGAAGCAGCAGAGACCCGACCCCCAAGACCAGAGGCAGACGAAAAAAGGGGGGATCAGAGCCCAAGACCCCAGGAGGGACCCCGACTGCGGAGCCCCCAGGGCCACCCACACAGGACGAAACACTCGCCCACCCCCCAGATCGGACCACAGGGGAGAGCCGGAAGAACCCCACCAGCGACCACATACAGTGACCCCCCGGGGCCAACAGCGACAAACTCATAGGCCCCCGCCGGAACCCGCCGCACCGATGCAGGTCCAGGCCCGGGCACGGAGGCCCGGGCACCGAGGACCCACACCACCCAGGCCAAGGCCTGACAGGGCCAGAGGACCCGAGCCCCACCAGGCAGACACCAGGCCGAGCCAACACACGCCCAAGCGCCCAGCCACCGACTCCAAGGGCCCCAAGCGCGCCGGCAGGCAAGGGCACACCCCACCAGGGGGCCGCGAGATAGGGGCGCGATGCCAAGCACCCACAATTGTATCAAAGAGGGGGCAGTCCGAGTCTCGGCCAAACAAATACCCATTCATACACAGACACAATCACACAGTCCCAGCCTCATTCTCACACTCACTCACTCAAGACATACAATAACGATACATTTCATTCTTATTCCCGATACGCACTCTATACCCCCCAGGTCCAAGACATGTACCCGCCCTCTACAGGGGGCAGCCCATGCCCAAACCCAGGAGGTAAACCCATTCATTCTCGAGCGGAGAAGAGCCAATATCCCAGACCCGGCCCAGGCCACGCCCAGCCGATAGGACACCACCCATCATGAAGAGGACATGCCACCGACCACCCCCACACACCGCCAACAACCAAGCACGCGCCCCCAGCCGCCCGCCCGCCAGGCCCCGGCAGCCACCCCGGCCAGCGGGCCAACCATGGCACCCAAAAGCCAAGCTCAGGGGGTCCAAACAATCCCAGGGAGAGCAAAGCGCCAGCACCGCCCACGGCAATCCCCCAGACCCCGAACCCCCACATAGTCCTGGTCAACACCCGACGGCCTGCCCTTCTCCCGGACCCCACCGCCGGAATGGCAGTTAGGGAACTAGGGGGGTGAGGAAAAAAAAAAGAATAAGACCCCGACACATACACCCCCGCCCCTAGATGTGCTGTTGGTGTGTGTTGTTGTATAGTGCCATTAAAAAGGAAAGAAGAAGGAGCAAAGGCTGGCATGATGCCAGTTTCCCCTACACCCCAACTCTATCCAAACCCTAGTGTCTAAATGCAACCATTGTAAGTGAGCACAGGCACAGGGGGCAAGAGTAAAGTCATCCCACCACCCATAGCCATGTGCCCACCTCAAGTTCCTATATGTGAATGTCATGAGGATGTTCTGAGTGAAGGTGTACAATAAAATTGAGTCCCAGGTGGGGAAAATAAAATTCAGCCAACAGGTGAAAAGGAGGAACCCAGACCAGTGGTCATTCCATATGTTGAGGGAGTATCAGAGAAACTGAGACGTTTATTTTCTAAACATAACGTCCCAGTGGCTTTTAAACCCCAAAATACATTACGGCAAAGACTGGTTCATCCCAAAGATCCAGTCCCCCAGCACAAACAGAGTAATGTTGTGTATGCTGTTCAGTGTCAGGAGGGCTGTGATCAGTCTTACATCGGGGAAACAAAACAGCCACTGGCCAAAAGGATGGCCCAGCACAGAAGATCAACATCATCAGGCCAGGACTCTGCGGTCTACACTCATCTCCAGGCCAGCGGTCACTCTTTCAGGGATGAAGATGTGCACATCCTGGATAGAGAGGAACGATGGTTTGAGAGAGGAGTAAAGGAGGCCATCTTTGTGAAAAGAAACCGTCCATCATTAAACAGGGGTGGAGGCCTACGTGTTCAATTGTCCCCCTCTTACAATGCTGTGATTGCTAGTATCACTCAGCCCTCTGTGAATAGTACACAGCCATCAGTGTGCTAATGATCCATTGTTAGGCTGATGGTCCTTCTTGAGCATGTGATCAGCTGGTTTTGGTTGTCAGCAGCAAAACTGGTTGATCCACTCTGAGAAGGTGCTATTTAAGAGACTGAGCTGAAAACAGCACCTCAGACTGAAGAAGTCTCTCGGACGAGAGACGAAACGTTTCTACATTTTTTGTTGTTTTGCTTTGTTTTGGGTTTTTTTGAATGTCCAGAGGACCAGATTTAACTTTTTTAGAGTAGTGATAGAAGTTGGGAAGTTCTAATCCTCTGGTATCTTTAGATTTCTGTAATGCTTTTAAGCTAATACGTGGAGTTTTGTTTTTCCAAAGGAATTTAGATATCAAAGAGTCCAGTGACTTAAACCATTCAGTTTAAGGTTTATTTGGAATCATTGAGAATAAATAGTTTATTCTCGGCAGGACCATCATTTTTACTGAGGCAACTCTTCCCATAAGTGATATGGGCAGAGATTTCCATCTAGTAAGATCATCTTCAATGTTCTTTAAAATTGGGATATGATTCAATTTTATTAAGTCTTCCAATCTAGGAGAAATATTAATGCCCAAGTATGTAATGTTACCTGATTGTAGTCGTTCATTGAGAGAAGTATTAAACACGCAGTTTATTGGAAGAGCTGTAGATTTTGACCAATTTATAAAATAATCAGAAACTTTTGAGAACGAGTTTATTAATTCGATAACATTAGATATTGAGTTTTCTGTGTTCTGAAGAAAAAGTAAAACATGGTCAGCATAAAGACTAATTTTATGTTCTATATTTCTACACAGTATACCTTTAATATCAGCAGTTTGTCTTATTGCTGCTGCTAAAGGTTCAATAAAAATAGCAAATAGCGCAGGTGAAAGTGGACATCCCTGCCTGGTCGCCCTCTGTAAACAGAAGCTTGAAGATATTTGATTATTTGTCCTGACAGATGCTCTTGGTGAGTTATATAATATTTTTAACCAATTAATGAAATGTTCCCCAAAACCAAATTTACCCAAGGTAGCAAATAAAAATTTCCAGTTTACCCTATCAAATGCTTTTTCTGCGTCCAAAGACAAAATAGCTGTTTCAATATTTTTACTATATGAATACTCTATTAAATTATATAATCTGCGTGTGTTTGTGGTTGAGTGTCTTCCTTTTATGAATCCAGTTTGGTCAGGATGAATAATGAGAGGAATTATTTTCTCTAATCTTTCAGTAGATGCCACAGTACCCTTTAACATTTTTGTTAAAATCTTAGTTGTACATAATGTGTACTGAACCTTTTCACTGATCATATCATGTAACATGGTAACAATGCGTGAGCGCAGAACTCCTCCTCCATCTGTCTCAAACAGCTCTGATAAAACCTGCAGTCCTCCGTGGGACAGGAAGTGCTGCTGTGCAAAAGGGAAGTGGCGTAGAAGAGAGGCCACAGCAAACAGGACCTGCATGAGGAACATTCACCCATCAGTGAACACGTGTAGGCTGAATGTTGAACTGTGCTGCAATCTTTTGACTTGTACCTTCTTTTTAACGCTGAGTAATTGAGTTGTAGCCAGAGTTGTAAGAAGAGTTTGCAGAGCTCCTTCCTCCACAGCTTTGACCTGGACCACAGGGTTACTGCAAAATGAAGAGTGCAGTCAGCGAACACACACACTGATACATCTGTGAAAAACAATGAAGATCAAGACAATTCTTATCACTGCAGAGATCAGGCCTTTGCACTAATGACGAGGGAACTTGGGAGCAAGTAGACCTTGTAGACCTGAAAGATGCATATTTTCATGCGCCTATTGTGGTAGAACATGTTGTGGATAGAATACCACGTCGTGTTCAAAACGGCGGAGGCGTCGCCCTTCGTATAAAAGATTTATTTGACACAACATGGGTTACAGATATTCAGAGACAAACAGTTACATTAATAAGATATATGCATATAAATGGAGCATTAAGAACAAACCGCCTCGTGCGTGCCTCCCTGAAAATGCTCAGTGCGCGTGCGTCATTCCCGGCCTTTTATCCCCGTTTGAGAAGGCTAGCTTCCTGATTGGTTCAGCTTCTGTCGCTATGGTTACGACGTAGCCCGCCCCCTCAAGGACGTTACGTCTATATTTCAGATAAGTTTTGGTTCACTGAAATAGGCTTTTGTTTAAAGTTTAACTTGCTATTATACTTTAGGGATATAAAATGATTCGTGTCTAAATTGTTTATGCATAATAATTAATAACTATTAATTATTACCTACCTCCTGGGTGTTAATTCAATATCTGTTGGAGGTCTGGTGATTCTGTTTTTAAGGCAGATTCATCTTAGTTTCTGTGTCTGCGTTTAAAACTGTTAACACTGTTTGTTTAACGTGATTATACCTTAGTGATAACACTGATTTGAAATAGTTGTTTATTTCTAGGAATAATTATATTATCCAACTTATGTTCGTGTTTTTATTTGGATCATGGTTATACTCTTAATTTGATTTACTTAGTCAAACTATATTGTCTAAATTAAAGAGCTGTTCTAGCTTTATTTATGTTAATCAGTCTGCTCTCTGGCCTGATTTGATTGCTTGTAATTTATCAAATGTGAACTTGTAAAATTATCTTTAGCTACTATGAGATTATATTTAAAGGTCAACTAGTTAGAATTAGCAAACACTTTCTATAAACATAGTTCAACCTTGAAAGAAAGACACACACACACTTTATATGACCTGACATTTGAGTGCTTGATAGGAATTATAAAAAGGTATAAAATATTAAATCCAACAAACATCACTGCTTTCTCAGGTTTGCCTATCAGGGTCACCACTGGCAGTTCTGAGTACTCCCATTCGGGCTCTCTCTCCCCCCGAGGGTGTTCACTCGGTGTGTGAAGGCAGCCCTCTCTCCTCTGCAGGCCTGCTGAGTGAAGGTTCTGCCATACTTAGACGATTGGCTTCTCTGCGCCCCGTCTCAGGCCTGTGCCTTTCACGACACGAACCGCCTGCTCGCTCATGTGTCCCAGTTGGGCCTCAATGTCAACCTGGAGAAGAGCTGCCTGATCCCTTCCCAGACGATCACCTTTCTTGGGATGGTTCTGGATTCATCTTCCATGAGAGCTCGCCCATCCGCTCAAAGGGTGGCCGGCATACTCCAGCTGGTCAGTCGGTTCAGGCTGGGCAGACAGCTCCCCTAAGTTGCCTTCTTGCAATTACTCGGCAAACTGACGTCAGTCACTCGGGGTGCCCTTAGACCTGCTGTCACTTCGCCCCTTGCAGAGGTGGCTCAACAGCTTTCGCCTGGATGCCAGGCTGCACAGGCATCGCAAGCTCGCAGCGACGTGGTCATGTCTTCATGCCCGGACTCCATGGAGGGACAAAGATTATTTGTCCAGGGGTGTCCCCATGGGAGTGGTAGTGTCGCAGGGAAGTGGTCACGACAGATGCCAGCTCCATGGGATGGGTGCTGCGTGGTAACGCAGAGCGGTTCAGGGCCACTGGGATCAAAAGGATTGCTCCAGGCATGTAAATGTGCTGGAGATGCGTGCAGTGCACTTGGCACTCAGGCAATTCCTGCCTCACCTGGAAGGGGGGCATGTTCTTGTTCGGTCAGACAACACCTCTGTTGTCTACCACATCAACCATCAGGGGGCACCAGGTCAGCACAACTTCTGAGAGTGTCCAGAGAGCTCCTAGAATGGGCCTGTCCTTGCCTGTCCACCCTACGGGCAGCGTACTAACCAGGGCGACACAATCAGGTCACAGATTTTCTCTCCCGCCAAGGGTCCGCTCCGAGAGAGTGGTCCCTCCACAGCGACGTAATGCTGATGATCTGGGACCGTTTTGGTCAGGCAGAGATAGACCTGTTTGCGATAGAAGAGTCGACTCGGTGTCCCCTATGGTACTCTCTTACGGGGGCGTCGGGTGTGCTGGGCCAGGAAGCATTGGCTCATCCTTGGCCAAGGGTCCTCCTATATGCCTTTTCACCCCTTTCTCTAATTTGGCCAACCCTTCAGAGAGTCCTCGAGGAAGGCCATAGGATGCTGCTGGTGGTTCAATATTGGCCAGCGTGACCATGGTTCCCACTGCTATGAAGTCTATGTCAGGGCGTCCCATGGTGTCTTCCGACCAGGAGGGACTTGCTGTCTTAGTTGGGGGGACTGATATGGCACCCCAATTCTCAATGTCTTTGGCTGTGGGTGTGGCCACTGCAAGGCTAGGACAGCAGCTGACTGGAGTTTCGAGCCTCGTCAGACGCACCATCCTGGGCGCCAGAGCACCCTCTACTCGTCAGCAGTACGAAAACAGGTGGCGTCTGTTTTCCCAATGGTGTTCTGATCACAACGAGGATCCAGTCTCCTGTACAGTACCCACCATTCTAGAGTTTCTCCAGTCTCTCCTTGGTCGCACCCGTCGATAGCTCCACGAGCATCAGGTTGGGACCTGCCCTTGGTTTTCGAAGCTCTGTGCCGCCCTCCTTTCGAGCCTCTGACGCAGACGGACCTCAAGTGCATTTCATGTAAGATGGCTTTTTTGTTGGCTATTGCCTCAGCAAAGAGGGTCAGCAAGCTACATGCTCTCTCAGTCAGCCCCTCATGCCTCAGGTGGGGCCCTGAGGGCTATTGTGTTACCTTGTGGCCAAACACTGCACTTGTACCAAAGGTGTCATCTCACTCTCACTGTAACCAACCGTTGAGGCTGGCATGTTTTCAGCCTACGCCTGGTGAGGGGTCTGGATTATTGTGCCCGGTGAGGGCACTGGAGGCATACGTTGCAGCTACTACCGTGATAAGACATTCAGACCAGCTGATTGTGTCTTATGGAGGCCCTAGGTTAGGCTGTCCTCTTTCCAAACAGCGCCTCTCCCAGTGGATCGTGGATGTCATCTGCCACGCCTATGCTGCAGGGCATGGCCCCCTGCTGGTCGGCGTGAAGGCACACTCTACCATGAGCGTCTCCGCTTCCTGGGCTGCCCTAAGAGGGGTTCCGCTGGAAGCAATATGTGCTGCTGCATCATGGGCTTCCCCAAGCACGTTCACCAGATTTTACAGAGTTAACATGGCCACCCCTCATCCCCTGGGCCAGGTTCTTCTACAAGGGTCCTCTGGGCCTCCTCTGTGAAGTGTGTGCTTAGGATTCCTTGTGATATCGTTGGTATTAGTCATTCAGTGCTTTCAGTACCGCCCTCTGGCAGTCAGGAGGGATGAAATAGAACGAAAGTTACGTATGTAAGTATGGTTCTATGAATCCCAGATGAACGCCAGAGCTTCTCTGTCACTCAGAATCCTTGCATTCCGCGAGAAGATTCTGTAGGAGCAGAGCTGCAGATGACGTCGGGCTATATAGCCTCTGATTGGTCATACGTGTCACACCTGTGACTCCGTTGGTATTATTACTCGAACAGCGAATGCGCAAAGGGAACATTCAGTGCTTTCAGCACCGCCCTCTGGCGGTCATCCGAGATTCATAGAACCGTAGTTACATACGTAACTTTAGTTTCCTTTACAAAGTGAATCAGCACCTTGAACAGAAAACAACTGATTGATCATCAGAGAAAATAATAAATTCAGATTACAGGAACTGGGATGTACAGCAGCAAAACTCCAAAAAGATTCATGACAAGCAACAAAGTAAATCATCTTTCGTAATCCAAACTTTCAGCAGCTACAGAAGCTCAGCTCGGAGCAGTAAGTACCTGGAAACAGCCGACCCCAGAACCAAGGCAGAGTTCTCCTGCAGCTGGACATCAGAACTGTTCAGAGCTCTGAGGATAAAGCGAAGACCTCCCATCGAGCACAGTGTCTGAGCATTATCCACCTAACAAACAGCAGACGGAGTTAAGGGAGAACATGTCGAAAAGTGCACAGGTTGTGTGAACTCGGGTTACCTGATGAACCATGTACTCCAGCTCCTGCAGGATGCTCAGCCTCTGCTCTGTAGCTGTGTGGGCGCTGCTGAACTGATCCAACAGGCGCCTCATTATCTGCAAACAGAAGCTCAACTGAATGACCAACAATGGCTATGCTAACAAGTCCAGTAAACCAAACAAATGGAAACCAGATGTTCTACTGCTGGATCACATGTTCATGTTTAAGAACAGGACATTCAGACACAAGGTTTTCAGTCTCTGAGCAGAGTAAATAAATGCCCAAAAAGAAAAATAAAGACATATTTCCAAGTGGGGAAATTCAAATACAACTGTAGTTAAAGTAAAAAAAAAAAAAAAGGATCTTATAAAATGTTGTTTCTTTGAAATATTGGGGTTTACTTGTGTGTAAGTCCTAACTTAAAACACATTTTAACAAAAAAATAGACATACACATATACATACATACATACATACATATATATATACACATACATATATACATAGATACATACATACATATACATACATACATATACATACATGCATACATATACATACATACATATAAATATATATATATATACATACATACATACATACATACATATACATACATATATATATATATATATATATA